GTATAGTTTCTGTATCTTATTTTATCTTTCTTCAAGCTTATATGATTTGTAAGCTGCGTACTAAATTTGTTGCTGTGTAACTGTCTGTCATCCGCCCTTCAGTCTGGCCGCAACATCAGCGACATGTTTCCCTCAGCAGTTATACGGTTAGTTGTCTCTCTAGTAGCTGCCCTTCTTCAGGTGATATTTTTTTTTTTAGCCACCATCCACCTGTCTACTTGTAAGTGACATGAACAGCACTTCGCCTCTCTAACCGCCTCCCAAAAAAACCCCATACCCCATCCCAAACCAACCTGGCCAACACGTACGTAATTGTTCGCAAAAACTTTGCGTTAAGAAAATTATAAAAGAATGTGCCGGGAAATTCATGGCTGGTTAAACTTTTTACATGAAAACTGTACGAGCGGATAATGCAAAGCAGAGCAAACTTGTTGACCAGAAAATAGAATGAAGGGGGGCGAGGGGCTGGCACATTATGGCCACTGGCCAGCAAGGTTTAGGCCATGAATTAAGTGCTCGAAGTCAACACAGATTCAACTATACCAATGATTTGTTTAGAAATAAAATCAGGACAAGACTTATTTTATTAACTAGTTTAAGATATTTTTTAAGCACTAAAAAATAAGTACAATTTAAATTTAATTTTATGAACAAAGACTTGAAACACAAGCATGTTTATTAAAACTTCCATTCTTTATAGTAGGTTAGTAAGAAGCATTATTATTTCTAATTCTAATAAAGTAATAGACATAGATCTATAGATTTTGTAATAATAAATGAAGTAAGATATAAAATCTCTAAGTATAAAATAATAATTATATTTAACAAAGTTTTCTCCTTAATTAGCTAATATATTCAAAGCCTTAATAGAAGTCACCAAACTCACTCTCTGATTTTATTTTTTTTTAGACCTTGTGACCTCGTTGTCTGCTACACAGTGTGTGTGAGATTATTCAATTATTAAGCTTAAGCATTGCGGCTAAGATGGCGGCAACAAGTGGCTGGGATTATCCGGAAATAATCCGGAATGGAGTTGGCCAGCCCGAGGAGGAGTCGACGAGGAGTTGCCGTTTCTGGCTCTCGACTTTCTGAGGTTCTGACGTCAAACGGCAGCGGTGGCAGTGGCGGTGGCGGTGGCGGGAGAAAGGAGTGAAAAATTGTTGAAAAAGTAGCAATTTCCTTGATTGACGCTCATCAGAGTTGTAGCCGCGGCGGCTACCGCGTGACAGAGACAGAAAAAGGCAAATGGAAAGAGAGGGAGCTGGCGGAAGCGTCTTGGGAGCTGCCTTTGCAACTTCAACTTGGCAAACATTTCCGGCGCCATTTCGCCTCTTGAGCTACTTTGTTGCTCCACATACCCGCACACACCTACCTATATACATTCGGTATATACAAATATATATATGTATTTATATATAGGTTGTGTGTACTTTTATAAAAATACTTTTATAAGAGGTTCTTTATTTTTTGAGTGACTTGGCTGCTTTTGTTTTACTTCTACTTCGTTTTGCGTTGCTACATTTTTGTCTTAAATGATTGCCATAAAAAATAAGTGCACATTATTGTTACAACGTACTGGAGTGCCAGAAAGAGAGAGAGGGCCTCTGAGGTGGGACAGGGACGGGGATAGGGAGTGAGCGAGAGGCACTTTGCAGTTATCCATACGCGTAGTGTAACAAATGATTTTCACAGCATTTTTGCTTTATGAGCTTTTTAGAACGCCGCCTCGGCCCCTCCCCACTAAAAAAGCTAAAAAAAAAGGAAAGAAAACTCTTAAGTGATTTACATGGCTTACACTGCGGAAGTGCAGTAAGGATTCCCGCCATTTCCATTTACTTCCTGTTATTTCCCCTTTTTTCTTGCTCTTGGTCTGACTCTTCTGACTCTGAAACTCGGCCACGAAATAGTGCCAGCCAAGATATTAACTTGCAAAATGCAGTAATGACCGACTATTTACTGTTTTCTTTTCTTTTAACATTTTGAATTTATTAAATGAGTCTTAAATGAGTTTTGTCCTTTAATACTTTAAATTTGTACACTGCTTTTTTAAACGCTTAGAGAAGTATCCATTAAGGGTACTCGGACCTGACAAGGATATTTTTATATATACTTTATTTGAGAATATCAGGACGAAAATATATAAAAATTTAAAAAAACTTTTTATATAGTGAAGATATACTGCAGGCTGGGACTATGTAGCTTTTTTACAAATATTCATAAAGCTTAATAATATTAATTATATCCTTTTCTTTTTTGTTTAAATCAAAGCTTTTTTTAAAAATACATTAATATTTCTGATACTTTCTTCAAAAAAATCACAAAAGACTCGGTACATTACCTATTGACTAATTGACTTAGTGAATCGAAATATTAACAAATATAGGTATCTTCTTATTATTTCTCCTATTAAGCCAATGTAATGAAGTATGTACAATCTAAGACCTCCGCAGTTTCCAAAAGTACATTTCCTTAAATATTATAAGAAAAATCTTTAAAACTTCCCCCTGGAAAATATTTCTATTTGTTATTTTTAAAAGCTTCCCAATTTCCAAATTTAGAGTCCCAAGACGCCCCAAAATAAGAGCGCCTGCCACACCGACAAGCGGGTATTTTTGGCAACCCTCGGGCTGCTAGCTCCATTTCCTTTATATATCGCAATTAAATATTCATTCATCCCGCCTCTATTCTTGGCTATTTTTAAACGTGGCCTGTGACACTTGTTTATGAATATCGGGATAGAAAAAAAACGGAAAGAAATGGGGGAACCAAATGGCATTTGTCACTCAGTGACACGTGCCCCAAAAACGAAGCAAAAAATTGAGGCAAACAAATTTATTGTACATCAAATCCTGGAACAGTGATTTTTCTTTGTTTTCGGCAGTCAATCTTTGTTTTCGGCCTTGCAACATGACGTATGCGCAATGTGGCGTACACGCATAGTGGCTCGTTGTGCACACCACTGCGTATACGTAATAAATTTAAAGCTTTTCAATTTGAAGAAGCCAGGCAGCTAGTCAGCCATACAGCCATCCAGGCAGAGAAAGATTCCAAAAACAATACAAAAGTGGCAAATAAATATGAATCGAAATAAAATCAATACAAACAAAACGAATTAAAACCATAAATGAAAATCACAATCACTGTTTTTTCTTTCTATCGTGCTCTCCGAATGTGTGGTTGTGTCATAGAACTAAATTAATTAAAAACAATAAAGCAAACAATGGGCCCACAATGATTTTCGAGATGTTCGATTTGGTTCGGTGCCATTTTGAAGTTACTTAGTTTGCATAATGGCTTGGCAGCACTGTCCGAATGCAATCGATATATGCTAATAGAGCTGTCACCCCCACAAACAAATACACACTCGAGCCGACACTTTCGGCGCTATTTTGTGAATATGTGGAGTAAAACTAGAAAATTTGCTTTAAAATAGAGGCCTGTGGGAGCGGCCGTTGAATGGCTCTTGCAAACTGGCGTTAAGGACTCACAGCCAAGCATTCGCATTCCAAGTGCCACTGAACTAATACAATCACAAGCGGCGTATATAAAAATCATAATAATTCCTGGACCCTCTCTCTAGGACAAAAAAGGCAAGAACACAAGAAAAAAGTCAGGACATGAAAATGGCTTAAAGGCGCAAAAGGAGTTACCAGGATCTGGTTGAACAAATGACAAAGGAACCGCTTGGAAATAACCTTTTCTTTTACAGTGAAACTTTTATTATAAAGAATAACTTAAGAAAGCAAAGCAATAGATTATTGAACTAAACTTTCGATTGTGAATAATCAGTAAAGTAAATCAAGGCCGTAAATCAATCAATCATTTTTTATATATTTTATTTAGTTTAAGAAAGTAATTTTTCAGTTAAAGAATTGTTAATTAACTTACAAAAGCTTAGCTTAAGATCAAATTAGTTATCTCATTTCCTGGTACCACTGTTTTTTCAACACGAGTGTGTCTTGTTTTTTATTTTCACAGGCAATCACACACTGTCTCTCTCTCTTTTTGTCTGTCTATTGCTGTCTCGTTTCAGGTTCCTCTGGCTTATGTTTAACCCTCTGTTTCCATCTCTGTCTGTGTGAATATGTCTGTCTTTGTCCCGATGTCCTGAGCCGCGTGCGATCACGGAGCGCATAAATGGCATTTGACACGTGACAAAAATTTTGAATTTTAATATTTGCACCACTGTGTTCTGCCCCTCTATCTGAGTGTGTGAGTGAGAGGGTGTGGGTGGCATTAGTATGTGTGTGTGTTTCCGGATCCGGTCCCATCTGTGTGCGTTTGTGTGTCTGCTTTGGATAAACTGAATTTCATTTGGGTTTTCCGCCAGCGATTGTTTCTTCAGCATGATTTTCTCGATGCTTGTTCTATGACTCTATAGCCATCTTTTCTGTGCCCTCTCCAGCCTCGGCCAGCCTCCTGTCTATGCTCACAAACCAAAAGTCCCGACAAATCCTGTGAAGGATCTAGCCAGGAAATTTGTTTGCTTTGCATGTGCGGACACTTTGTTCAAATGATGCGACATAATAACTGCGAGCCACCAGCCTCCACTCCTTGGCATCAAATTTTTTGACTGCCCATTAAATATTATGGCAATGCAAACGAATCGACAGCAACGACAACACCAATACACCAATACACCAGCAGGCCAACCAACAAACAACAACCGAACAACCACAGGCCGAGGCAACAATCATTGGCTGGACATTTTGCATTTTTGGCAATTTTTGGCGACGTGACGGCAAATAAAAGTTAAATGAAAATGAAACTATGCAAATAAAAGCGAATTTTTGTGGGTGAGGCAGATTTTTTCCTTTTTCCTAGGTGGTTGTTGGTGGTTGAAGGCTGCTGGTGGTGGTGGTGGCGGTGTGTTTAATTTCAGGCCATATTGCTGTCCATTTGGTAGTAAGTCTCGATTTCAGCCAGCTATTTCAGGCAGTGGCTGTTTCAAGATAGAAGAAAACTATATTTAAGGCAGCTCCTTCTTTTAAAAGCCACTCTTTAGAGCCACGAATAGTAAATTTTATTGTTGGTTTGTTGAAACAATAATTCTTGAGAAAGTAAATTTAAAATTTAATGCCGAATGATTTCTCCACCTCGGCGTGCGGGCGGCGCATTTTTTCCCTGTTTTCAGGAACATTCATAAAATCCTCGAAACCAATGTCCTCACTGCGTCCAGTCAGGACGTCGTCCATCAAGTTACAGGAGGGAAGGAAGGGCATGCGACCCACCTGCCTAGCTGCGAAGCGATCCATGCCCATCTTCAGGGGGACGCACAGTCCCTCGCGGTTGCGTATTAGCTCCATGTTGAGCGCGAACTGGTGCTCGTGGTAGTTCATCTCCGAGTCCCGTAGGCGGTGGACATGGCCCAGTTGGTTCAGGCAGTTGGCGTCCGTGGGAGCTCCCACCTTACCGGTGGCCTTCAGGACCTCCGGGGTCTGCTCATTCAATGACGGCTGATACATTTTGTTTGTTTAGAGTCTATAAGATTTCAAAGGGTTTTAAATGAAAACAAATGTTTTGAAGGACAAGTTTTGAATGACAAACAAAACTTGGAAATCGTGATAAAAGTAAGTTAACCCATTGATTTTTAAAGGTCAAAGTCTCGTCCCACGATCAGGAGAATGCTATTGAATCTCGTTTTGAAACGAAATAGTCTTCCTTATATAGTGGCATGGGACCCGTGGTTTTCCTGGTCTTTGGGACATTCGATTACGATTTGGAGTTAGAACAGCTTTTCAGTTTATTCCAGATATGTTTTTGTCATGTCATGTTTTTGTTCCTCATCGGTATGTTGGTGTATTAATTGGTATGGTTGGAACTGATTTTGGGCTTATGGCTGTTAATTATTGTTTGAATCGTTGTTAAAAATATTGTTTGGGAATTTGGAGTTATTGAAAATTACATAAAATAAGTAAAATAAGATTAGTTCCTATATTTTAACTGCTCGCAGACTTCCGGCTGGTTTTGAAAGTCGGAACATTTTTAAACTTTGGAAGTTTCCATATGTTGCCTGAGCATTACGATCGCGTTGTGAGATCGCGCTGTACTGCTTTTGATTTGCAGCTTTGCTTGCAGATCGTAAAGTACTCCGAAGATTCTGACCGATTTGATGGTGGTGCAGGCTTTTCCAACGCAGACGTCTTTCGAATAGCAAAAAAGAGTTCCTCCTCTTAGCCACGGCAAGCCAGATCTGCATTGTTTTGAGTGCCAAAACTTAATTTTTTAAGCCTTGGGTAAATCATCGTGGCAATCCGTGGCACGGTATGGTTATCAAATCTTTCCTCTGCTTTTCCACCTTATGGGGACGACACAGAAACGTCGATTCTCACGATACTACTACTACTACTACTACTACTTCTCATGATACTATTATACAAGGTAGGAGTCTTTAGAGAGTTTTCCACGCTTATAGCTTCAGTTAGATCTATCATTTGAGAAGAAGACTTGGAACTGCTCAGACTTTTTGGAAATTGATCGAAAGGGTATAAAAATTCTTGCAAAAGTTCTATTTAATTTAGAATATTATCTATAAAATTTCCAATCTACTCTTCAAAAATGAAAAAAATGTCATACAAATCAAATAAAACCAAGCTCGACGAAGCAGAAACCTTCGACTACAAGTTCACTCTGGGGTTAATTGGGAGTCTATGGCCGTTTCAAGGACCAAAGATTTTCCTTTTCTCGTCCAGCAAAGCTCACAAGTTTCCTATGGACCTGGTCGAGCGAAAAGGCCAATGACACTGTCTCATCAACTAGTAGACAAAGACACAATGTTTGTAATTTGATGCCAAGCAATTTAGCCTGTTTAAAGTACAAGCATAATGCAATCCCTGAAATAAAAGTTCCATTAACCCATATCATGCCACATAGCGGCCTGAGTTTCTTTTCGTTGCTGGCCTGGCTGGAAAGTCGTCGAGCGTGAAGGACAGTAATCCAGTGAGAAAGCATGCTTGATTGCACTAACCCCATCTTTCCTCCTTTTTAGAAAAAAAAAGGACTAAAAGACCCAGGGACCGAGGCCTCGGGCTTCTACACATATTAATATTCGGCCGTGTATTTAAACTATTTCTGGTGGTGTGCATATTTTTCGATTTTGACTTTCCGGCTGCCGGAATTTCGTTCCGGGTCACTGCCAAGAGGGTCTTGGCGTGTCCGTTTTGGAAAATACCCAAAGTTAACTACTGCTTAGATGGTTTTTGGTTTTGCAGCTTAAAGGCTACCCCCTGAATTCCGATCATGATACATACTGGATAGTATATGCCCCTACATATACATACATATGTATAGGTTTTCACAAATCACAAAGTTCTCTGTGAAGGGAACACGGACATATGCCTCTAACGACAGGACAACACCCTTAAATGCTATTTGCTTGGTATGTATCTGTATCTACAGTTGTAGTAGCTGTAGCTGTATCTGTATCTGTGGGCCCTGCCCGCACATATATCTGTATCTGTGTAGTTGTTGTACTTTAGCTCGTGCAATCCAAACGTTAATGGTCTGTCAATTATCGCCACCCAGTGAGTGTAACGATAAGATATCGCCCCCAGGCGCAAAACATTTCATACGCACTGTCCGCTTGCCCCTCTGTCCGTGTGTCCGTTTGTCCGTGTTCGCCTGTCCAGTGTCTGAGCCTTCCAGTTGCCTCAACACTTTAGTACATCATTTAGTTCGAATTAGTTATGGACATAGAGCACACAACTCTCGAATAGCCGAAGACGTACAATCGAATGGAACAACTTTTGCACACCCACAATAACCGTTAGAAATTCCTGAACGAAGGCGCCACTGCTTGTCCATGTATTTGTTATGTGTGTGTGTAGGTGTACGAAGGGAGGGTGTGTACTGGTGAACGGCGACAGGATCTGGGGTCAGGGTTCGACTCTGGTTGCCCTTTTTACATTTGTATTTATAGTCAGGCCAAGACACAGCCCAGAGACGTTGCGGAGCCCAAGACGAAAACAAAATTGGCATTTACACCGAGAAAAATATGCGGTGGGTGGCTATTTTTAGGGTTTATTTTTTTAAACAAAGTCTAAATTCAGTTACTCATGTTATACATATGTATGTATATCCTACTACTGGTTTTATTTTTATTTGAAAACTACGTTTAAAAAGACGGACAAACTTATTTGTTATATGGAATATCATTTATTTCCTTCATTTAAATATAAATATTTCAACGTTTTTGAAATACCTTTAAAAACTGCACATTATTGTTTTTTTTAAATTTAATTTTTAGCAGTGCACATGCCAGTTTTATGGAAACGGATAGACTGACAAACGGACAATAATCTCCTTTTTGAATATAGTTTACGCATATAAATAGCTTGAAATACAGTTTATAGTTTCTAATATTGAGAAAGTATCTTTTATTGGGCATGTAATTTTTGTGTCAGTGTACCAGGGCATTTCATATTAAGACACGGACAGCGGACAGACGGACAAACTCACTTCGGTAGCTTCTCGTTCTCATTCTCATTGTGTGTAGTTTCTGGGGACGTGGTTGTAGATATGTCTCTGAATTGTTCCCCACAACAGCCCCATCCGTCGACTGTTTGACTGAGTGCCCATTAGACGATGACGAGTGTGGGTAGAGGGGGCGAGATCCTGCGAGTCCTGGCACATCCTCCTTCGCCGTGCGCTTATCTATTTAGACTCTTTTAGTTACGGTTTTGGTTTTCCCTGGCCGTGGGTTTCGTCTCAGCGTCGAATTGATTTCAGCGTCCTTGTTTGTCTTGGGCGAGTACTGCGAGTATTTTTATTTCCTTTCATGCTTATTGGAATTTTATTATCAGCTCATATAAATGCAATAAAACGCTGATATATAGCCGGAAACAAAGAGTGTTTTACTTACCCGAACTTGAACTTTAACCCAAAGCACAAAGGCCCCTTCTTCTCCGAAAGTTTTCAATAGTTTTTGCCTTTCATATATTTTCAGATATTCTTTATTTATTTTATTTCCTGTTTGGTATTACATTAAGTTTTCTGTTATCCTTTAATCATGTTATTTGCTATTATTACTCTCATTAGCTATTGTGTAATTATCCTTGAAATAGTTTGCCTTTCTCAGAGCTTAGCCTACGTTTCAATTAGTTTATAATTCATAACTTTTTCTAGTAAAAAAAAAATGATAAAAATGATAAAAGTAATAAACATTGCTTTAAAATAGTTTCATTTTGCTAAATATCAGGCATATACCTTCATATGCTTAGTTGGTACAAAGATCCTTTTTCGCTATGTGTATATTTTGATGTTACGGAGGGACCTTACGAGTATTATGTTTTTTTATATTAAAACCACAAAATAACAATAACAGATAACAATTTAACGATTCGGGAACTCAAGCTACGATTTCATTCATAAATCAACGTTATTGAGTCTGATCTTTGTTGTTGTTCTTCTTGTTTTTGTTGTTTCTTTTTGTTGTTGTTTTTGTATTTGGTGTACGTATATCCTTTGTTTATATATATGTATCTTTACCGTTAATTCAAGTTGCAAGTCGCACATTTACCAATTATTCTATAATTAATAAGCGTTTTCTTTGGAAGAACCTAACTTAGGAGCATTTCTGAAAGTTGAACTGTTATTTGTTAAGTCTTAATCCTAGTCTTAATTACCCATTTAAAAAAAAAAACAATTTGCACTCAGGATATATTCACTCACACACACATTCACACACACATTACATTTTTTCATATTTTTTTTTTTGTAGGAAAGTATAAAAAAACAGTTGAGCTTTTCTTACTACAAAGGGATTTTCTTGGGGTTGTGGATGGGAGAGGGGGTCTTTATAGTACTTAGATCCTAGACAATATTCATTCATATCATATATGGAATTTGTATAAAGTATTACACGTGTACGAGTACGATTAAGTATCTATTAATTATTTGTCACATAGAAACAGTTAAGAGGACGGCCGTTGAAATCAGGGACCCAAACGCCCCATCGATGCCCGTGAGCACAGGTCCTTGGTCCTTGGGATGCAGATCCTGGTCCGGACCGAGAGCAAGGGGCATGCTCCCCCCCTTATTCGGGACTTGCGCCAGGGGCGTCGGGATCGGGGTTTCGGTCCATGTTTCAAAACTCATCAGTTTTGATACTGCACTATTGAGTATATAACATATATATCTTCTGTCTCCTCTATATATTACCGTAGGTCTTCAGCTGGAGCTAATTGCTTCTAGCAATCTACATACCCTGATTCTTGCCTTCCCTCCTTATCCTTATTCTTATCCTTATCCCCTCTTCTCTACTACAGACTATCTGATATAGTTTACGAATAGTTTATATCGGGTTTTGTGTCCGCGTACTAGGTACGCTGTTCCTTAAGATCTTACCTAGAACTAAGTGTCTAGCCTATGTACGAACTCTGGTTTTTAAATGCGCATACATCGTTTGTCTCCCACCATGCTGTTTCTCTCAGTGTGAACTCAGATGAACGTAAATTTGGTGCCTCGGAAGCGGAGAGACGTCGAGGTCAGGGCCCCCGATTTCTAGTTTCGATTTGTGGGGCTCATTTGGTTGTGGTGTCTTCTTGTGTGAGTGAGTGTTTCGATAACTGTCGATTATTTTTCTGTATGCATTTTGCCAACAGCTCGGGCTTACCCGAAGAACTCCCAGGCTTTGGCGGCTACATACACATTCATTCCATTGAAAAAATATCAGTAGCTAGGGGTACAAATGGCCATCGATATTCTATCGACTGGCTGTCGGTAATCTATCGATTTTCACCAAAATACTTCCCTGTCAAAGAACTTTAAACAAAAGACAGATCTTAACCTACTTGGATCATTCGTGTTAGTGTTCTGTGCGTGTTGTTGCTGGCGAGCGCTGACCTCAAAGTACCGCTTGTTGCCTTAATCTATCGATATTCGATAACTAACTAATACACTAATTATCGATACCAATTATCGACACAGGACTGCTCCCAGCAGAGCCACATGTCGTTCTTTTTAGAGATATGGATTTCTTTACTACACTTAGCTAGATTTTAAGCTTACTTTTGTTTTCCTTTTTTGGGTTTTGGTTTTTTGGAAAAAATGGGGCGGGTGGGGGCGTGTCAGAGACTTGGGCGGCAGGGGGTGGGGTTGGGAATACACTTTTGCCAGCTGCTCGTGATATGTCCGGAATTTCGAGAGCAGCCAACAAAAAATAGCACTACGTCTCTGATTAAAGCGAACCGTACATCCTAAGTGCCAAATAGCTGATTATACGAACTTACTTCTAGGTTTTTCGTCTTGGAGTCCTTGGAAGGGGCCTACTTTTTCTGCCTGCTTGGTTTCTTGGGCCTGTGTATAATATACTATATATATTAGGTATTTCGCTAGTCGGGTTAGCTAAACGTAATTGTTTTAAAATTGTGCCTAGCCTACAGCTCGTTAAGTTCTGACACCGAGTTCCTTAGTCGATATATACAGGATCTATTTACATAAAATAGCTAAACCGTCGAGTATACACATACGTACTTAATGCTACTGAAACAACCAACAAACGTTGAAATAAACGATAAGTAATTCAACACAAAACCCAAATGCCTAATTGAGTGGCGAGTTGAGATCTTAGTGCTTCTTGGATTGCTTGGATTTTTGGCACACTGCTCCGTACTCCGTACTCCTCCGTGATACAACATCCTTTGATCCGCATGGCTCTCCGCATCCAGGGGCGTTTGCAATCACCCCATGTGCATGATCTTCTTGAAGGCCTTGCGGAACTCGGGGTTGAATATCGTGTAGATGACCGGATTGACGAAGCTGTTGATATAGCCCAGCCAGGTGGTAAGCATGTAGGCCGTCAGACCCGGGCGGCAGTCTTTCTTGAACTTGGCGCACATGGCGTCCATGATGTTGCAGCTGAAGAACGGCAGCCAGCAAAATAGGAAGACACCTGGTTTTCGGTTTCCCAAATTATACACGACTCTGCTATTTGGGGGTAATGGGCAAACTTACCCAAAACTATGGCCAATGTTTTGGTGGCCTTGCGCTCCTTTTTGGCCGACGATTTTTCGCGTTTCTTTTTCGAGGCCTTGTGCACTTTGTATATCGTGAATCTAAAGGAGCATTGGATAAACACGCAAGGATAATAAGCCATGGTAAATTGTATATTCAAAAAACCAAAAAAGCAACTACATGAGGTTGAATGGATTTGGGTCAAGACGACGTGGTTATACTCTATCAATGCTATAATGTTCACATATGTATTATTTCTCCTACATTTTAGTTTAATGAGAACTATAAGATATAGTCAACTGATTCAAAATTCTTCTACTGGTATACTTTCTTCAATAATAGTATGAATATTTTGAGCCTAATAACTTAAAAACTAAAAGCTTAGGAATGAAAATAACGGACAGATGGGCACGTGGAAAGGACTTTTTGGCAATAAAAGACAGGATCTATAATTTTTAACCACCGATTAATAAGTCGAAAGTGTAGAACATTTTGTTAAAACTGTGGCCCTACAACTTAAAGTTTTACAGACTAGCGAGATTAAATTCCAAGTAAACGGACAAACGGATATGACGATAGTTCACCAATTTTAACCATCGATTATTAACTAAAATATTTGGGAGAATATAGCTGGAAATTTGACAATCCAGCAAGCCTAAATATCTCTACATCCGTGCAGGATAAACCTCTTAACAAATCTGGAAAAAATGATAGGGTATAAAAACCAGCAAGGATAAAAACCATACTAGGTAAGGGTCAAACTAATAACTGTAATTAGGGAGGACGAAGGCAAAGGCGATGGCGATGGAGGACTCACCTTGACGCCTGCGAGTTCTTCTTATCCTTGCGCGAGGACGTTTTCGATGTGGTCGATAGCGTTGAGTCGTTGCGTGCCAAAGTCATGGCCTCCTGCACTCCGTACCGGACAAAGGACAATGGCTTCATGGCGACGCTGTAAACGGGGAGTGGAAAAAAGCCGAACAACCGGAATCAAATCGCAATCTCGGGCGGGAAATAGAGGTATTATGGCACTATTTTTGGTTTGCCTATTTGTGGTTACTGTTTTTTCGTGGGGAGTTAGGCAAAGGTGTTGCCAAAGTGCTGTTTTCTAGGTATAATTAGTAGTGAGTGGTAAGTGTTGGTCTGCCAACAGACCAGGTTGGGAAGTTTTGGGAAACTAAATCAGTCAACTAAACGGCATAAAATGGGATTAATCGATCTGTACGAAAGGTATATACATACATATATATATATTTTCAGGGGCTTGCAGGAAAAAAAGACCACTTAATGGTTTCTGAAGTTCCGAAAGGGTATTTTTAAGGTTTTAGGTTTATTTAAAAAGGAATACCTTTAAGTGTTAGCTTAAATAGTTTAGAGAATAGTTTAAGTTTAGAATGCCTCTCTATACTTGTTGACGATTTAATTAGAGATAGTTTAAATTACTTTTAAATAGTCTATTGTATAGAAATTATTTATTATTAGAGGTTGACTTCATTTGATTTGGTTGGAGTGTTACATATATTTTTTTAACATTTAAGGAAGTTTTTAAATGCATTTTCTTAGAAAAGCGATAGCTTTATGCTACAGATTTTTAAATACAACAGATTCCTAAGATATTGTAAAATTTATTCCTACAAAGTGTAGGTGAATATTTTAGGAGAAAAGGTTTAATTTTTAGTTTCGGAACTTTAGTTTCGGAGAATACTCTTGATGGGCAGAACTATTTTATAATTAGTGAAATAGGAGATCTTAGGAGTCTTGTAAAAAAATACTTAAAGGATAAAAGGAGTTTTAAAGGAGTGGGCTTGGAACTATGTTGGGATAGGATTAAGGATGGTTTTAGCCTTTATTTAAAAGGATGTATGTAGTATAAGCAGGCCACTTAAGAGAAATGGCAAATACCTGGTGTTATCGACTGCGACTGACCTGAGGGCGGCGGGGTCGCCGCGCTTCGGCGAATCGTCGGCAGTGTTCCGTCGGCTGCTGACGCTGGACCGCTGCAGGGTGGCGCCACTGGGCAGCGGACTGTCCGGCGGCGAGCCGCTGCTGGGCGGCGCCGCGGAGGCGGAGGCGCCGGCGGAGGGCGGAGCGCCCACGCCTGCAAGGACATCGTCAACGTTTGAGGCAGCATAACCAGAATCATGATTACCGTTCGGATCGGCGACCACCAGTTGGGGCTGGGTGGTGATTTGGGCCACGACGCTGCTGCCGCGCGGATGCGGATGAGGACGAAGGAGTAGTTGGCAGGGTTTTGCACGGTTTTCCAGTTTTCACACGGTAATGCATCCAATCACGGCGAGCACCACCAATCCATCCATCAATCAATCAAGCACGCAAGACACAAAGACACAAGGGGGAGAGAGAGACAGGGGGAAATCAATTAATCGGCCTGGCAAGATTGAGTTTTAATTAAGTGTTGCATTAATTGAATTATTCAGATTTATTTTTCTCTGCTCTGGCTCGGTGCTCCCTGCCTCAAGGATCTGGAGGTCCTTTCAAAAAGGATGGCAGAAGCGGTGGAGGAGTGGAGGAAAAAAACGAAACCCAATCAAAGTCCCCAAACCCATCTTAAACCGTCTCTTTGTGCATCCGCTGCTGTCATTAACGGTTTCGTTTCGAGTCCTTATTGGATTAAGGATGCCATCAGGATGCTAATTGACGGCGCTTAATGCTCGCACTCAATGGCGGTTTCGGTTTCGGACATCGCACCGAAGGACTTACGCGGGACAGCCGTACCTACTATACAGGATGCCCGCTGCACTATCTTTTTAAATCTGCCCACTATGGAGTGTGAAGGACTCTCTACTCCTTTCTTTCTTTGCTCCTCTTGCAATTAGATTGTCAATTTCCTTGGCAATGCAGTTTACTCAGCAGAAAAAACTAGGGAACAGAAACCATATACCGATTGGTTTATCTTCTACGTGTCTGTGGCACGTGCCAGGGCGGCCTGCGCCACTGGCGGCGCCAGGGTTGCCAGGTGCCGTCTCGAAAAAAAGGTTGCCAGGGGCCGGGAAACTGCTGAGCCCAAAACTTTTCATCGGGGTCATCGTCGTAGATAGCCAGAAAAACAGAGACTGCCGTCCATTAGGCCGAACCCCCTGAAATCCGTCTGCCAACTGCATTGCCAATTGGGAGTAACACCCTAACACCAAGGGAGTATATAAGTATTTTGGAGCTACATGACGGGTTATAGCTTTAGTTTAAATTTATTTATCATCAGTGACTATTGTGAACTTAATTTTTTGCGCGTTTAGCTTAAAGTCCCCGTAAGTTGATGTATTTTTTAAAAGAATTATTTTACTACTCCAACTATGTGTCAATTTCAATTATTTTAAAAGAATCTAGGAATAATATAATGTATTTAAATAATGTATATATTATAACATTTTCAAATGCTTTTCAAAATGACTTTTTAGCTCGAAATTTTTGAACGGAAATGTTTTAAAATTTTTTAATAAAATTAAGAAATAAGAAAAACTCTAAACTTCAAGTTACAGTGCAAATATTTGAAAGATATCTTTTTATTTGGTTTATAAAACTTAAGGTTTTTATTTTTATGTCCCTCCGATATGCTAAATTTTTAACAACCAAATATAATCTATCCACTACCTTCACTTCATTTTACAATTTTATTTTAAAGAAAATATAGACTTAATAATTGCGGAAATATTATTAAAAGGTATCTGAAAGTCGTTGCGGACTGCCAGCTCATGTTCGAATAGAAAATATCCAAGTGGAGTACTCACTTGCCCGTCTCCTCGACAACGGTGGCCAGCATAAACTCGGTGGACTTGTCGTTGACGATGACGTGGCAGTCATCGATGTCCGGAGAGATGGCGTTCTCGTCCTCCTCCTCGTTGGAGCCGCTGGCCGTGTTGGTGGCCGGCTCGTCCGGCATGATCCTGCTGGCATGCCGACTGCTGTCCAGGGCCGTTTCGGCCAGTCGGCGGGTTTGGGCGATGTTCTCGATGACACTGCCGCCGGTCAGCTCCGAGAGGTGGGGCTTGCGGGCCGCTCGTTGCTTCCGCGCTCGACTCCGCAGGGCCTTTTGTAGGAGCAGCAAAAAGGACCAAAGGACCCAGGGACCAGAGAGCGAAGAGGTTAGTCATCCAGTCAGAGAAAAAGTCAGAGAAATCATAGAGGGAAAAAATGGTTAGAACGTAGGATTAGGGCATGACGCTTGCTGCGCTTGCATCCTCCGGATACATGGGTATTCCCCATCCCTCCCTCCACCTCAGCTGCCTAGATAATAAACGCAAACAAAGCTTGGCCCAATGATTCTTGGCCGGATTGCAAATTGCGATTTTTGCAGGCATCAGCAGGACTTACAGTGCCAACGATATTGATTCCGCCACGCACGGGAATTTATATCCGATTTTGATTGGCTGCCACTGTGGCTTGTGGCTCTGGTTTGAGGAAAGGCCTCTGGAAAGTGGAATACAAAGCAAATCTTCTCCCTGAATGGGTTTTTAAATGATATTGATTAGGGTAATAGCTATTGGGTTCTTTTTCAGGCTTGGCTTTTAAATTTTCATTCTCTAAATGCTTTAAAGTATCTTTAGGGGAATTGCTTTTTACGACAGGGTAGGTCCTTTTATTATTAGAGGAATCTTACAACAAAGTATATTTCTAAAAAAAAAACCTTTCGAACCTTTCATTATTAATATAAAATTTTAAGCTGAAAAATTATTAAGTAAGCCTTGTGGTTATTCGACTTTATATCTACTTAGACTACGTATACCTGTTGGTACCTGGCTGATTGGAACCCCGTTTTTTTCACTATCATCCCTCCGTACAATTTAAAATTGGACAAATTAAATACAAAGCTTTGTAACATCATTGCCTTCTCGAAAAAAAAGTAATGATTTACTAAATCAAGCTTTCAAAGGGATTTGCTTTTAACATAGAAACTGACCAAAGGTCTAATCCTTCGAGCGAATCCCTAAGGAATTTTCTATTCTTATTAAATGATCAAAGTCTTAAAAAAGTCTAGAGTAATCATGAGCCTATTTACATATACATAGATCTAAGAAAATATGCTATCAAAATCCAGAAAATTAAATAATTAGCCCGAAATCATGAATTCAGGGATATTTTAAGGCAAAATTGTTCCTGGCTTATTAAGATTGCAAAAGGCTCCTAAGAACATTTTAAAAGTTCCATTTTTAATAGTTGACAAAGCTTTGTTTAGAAATGAAGGTCTTGATTTTATTTTTTTTTTTCTTTAGAAAATTAAACAAGTTTTATAACTAATCTTACCTTGAAAATATTCCAGTAGAGGAAAACCATGATGATGCAGGGTATGTAGAAACTGCTCAGGGAGGAGTAGAGGATGAAGTCGGCATTGTAGAAGGCGCAGACATCCGGCTCGCGATTGGGCGTATTGTTCAGGCCCAGAACTATTGGCGAGCCTATGGCAGCCGATATGGCCCAAACCAACAGAATCGTAAGGCAAACGCGGCGGCTGTTTTTGTGCTTGGCGTACTTTATTGGCTGCGTCACAGCGATGTATCTGCGAAATAAACATAAGCCCATATCTTGGAGATAACTAATAAACAAAGTAAAGTAAAGTCCTACCTGTCTATGGAGATGGCAACTAAGTTGAATATCGATGAAGTAGAGCATATCACATCCATGGCTATATAGAAATCACAAACAACGTCAGGCAGGGCCCAGGCTCCATTTACCTAAAAGAGAAAAAGGTATGCATGGGGAGTTACTTAATCGATTCTACGAGTTGTCTTTTTCCTTTGTTGGAATATCAATAACAATATTTTGGCCTGCTGCTGCCACAAATTAGTTTTGAGACTCCAGCCAGACTCCATAAAAACCCGAACAAAAACTCAAGAAATAACCAAAGCCAAACAATTTGTAGCACACACGCACACTGAGAGAAGAAGGATGTTGGGTCCTTGGCTGGCCTATGTGTGCGTGTGCATGCCTTCATTCTGCCATTCATTGATTCATTCATTCAATCCTGCTTTTTTGCAGCCTTTTCCAATCGGCTTGCCTTTAAAGTAGGCAAACAGAGAGTGAAACTCTAGCCGGGTCTTAGCCAGGCTAAGAGTGTAAAATATTTCCACGCACCCTGCCACACTCCGGCGTGAAAGCGAAAGCGGCGCAGGAGTGTATGCCAGACTCTCGTCTATATCCTGGGCCATTAAGGGGCGTACGAGCTAAGCGAGCATAACAAAAGTTGAGCTCGTCCAAGGAAAGTGGCAAAAACTTTTCGATATAAAGACACACGCACGAATGCTCATCCTCCCCCAAGGACTGTACTCTCCCCCCGCCCAAAAAAAAACCCGAACAAACACACACACATACACAGCTTTCTGCAAAAAACCATTGTCAGGCACATTACGTATACGCAGCGTATGCCGGGCGTTTTCTGCTCGCCTGCCTGCAACTGAACTATAATTTATAATGTATTTTTTCCAAGGTATCGACTGGGTTTTTCTGCGACTCCCACTACTGTACTATGGAGTAAGTAAATTTCTTGCATTTAATGGTTTTATTTTTGTATTCAATGCCACAGACAAAATGTAACATTTGTCGAATTATTTATGGCTTAATCTTTGCGAAAGTTTGCTTTGAATTCCATTTTTCCATTGAATTTCCTTTTACTTCAAGCTTCGTTGGATTTTTTAATATTTTTTCCAATTTCTATTCGCACCACATCCCTGGCAGCTCCACCGTCCCGCCACCCGCCGCCCGCCGATTGGGGATAAAGTCTATTCAGTCTTTTGAGTTCCAGGAGTATTGTGTAAGCGGTTTCCAATTCAGCGAAAGTGTCTCTCCCTCGTCTCCGAAAAATGTTCAATTTATGTATATTGTGAGCATAAAGGCATTTAAAGTCAGCTGGCTCTCGTTTTTTTCCTGGTTTATTTTAGAAGCCAAGAACGCCAAGAATAGGAGGCGTCCTGGCCATGTCCTGACTGCGTCCTGGGCCATATCCTGGCTGTGGCAACGGCAGCAGGGCATAAAATAAATAAATTTATCTATTTGCACAGTCAAAGGCTAGCGCACACACAAAAACCCAAAGGGACAAAGCTTTCAGATTCACTTTCTCCCCTCTCTTTCTCCTTTCATTCAGCTATCTCTGTCTTCTCCTCTCAATCCCACTCACACACACACACACTAACACACTGACACAGACACACAGAGGATACGCAGACAAAGGCAAACAAACAAACAAACACACGTAGCATTTTGATAATTGAGCTTCTGGTTTTTATAGTTTGCACACTGATAGGGAAGCGGGCCAGTGGCGGAGTCCGAGGGGGATCGTCCCCCCAGATAACTTATTAAACTAATTGCATTTCCCTTTTTTGGCCCAAGTAGTGGACCTTATCGGGCCAGAAGAATGCGAGCCAGTCCTCAGCCCCCTCAGCCCACGCCCCTGTGCATCGATTTGATTGTGTGCATAGGTACAGGTTATATACTCTTCGGCTTTGCCACATTTTTCGGGTTTTTGGGTGGGGCGAGGTCCTTTTATGTGGGAAAGTAACTATTTGTACAAATCAGAGAAACAGTCACGGGTATGGGCAGCAGGTCCGGGAGCAGGAGGCGCCTCCGAATTGGTTGCAAGTCTGGTCTTGAAATCTACTGGGAATCTTTTCAACGATTCCAATTGAAACCTTCAGTCTGATAGATTTTCCAAGGAAAGCGAAGTCTTCTGGGAAATGATTTGGGATTTTTAAGGATGCTTAGTTTTTGAAGTTGAATCTTAATTCAATTTTCTCCAGACAGATTGTTTTTTTCAAGATAAGTGGCATGGGAAATATATATTTTTTTAAAACATATATCCTTTTTTTGAATTGAACTAAAAATGTTCTTGAAAAAATCACAATATGTTTAAGAAGTTTATTTAAGGTTTACTGTAGAGCCTTTTTAATTTAAACCATTCTTGGGTTTTTGAAAGTTTTTAGCAGAAAAGATGCTAGATACTGTGTTATATAGTTTTAAGCACTATTTTGTCAAAGAAAGTAGTGTTTTTTATATAAATACTTTGTTAAAAAATATAAGAGTTTATTTAAAATAGCTTAATATATATATTTAAGTTATTATACATTATTTACAAGACATTTTAGGAAAGTGATTTGATATCCTATTTATATTCCCAGAAAACTACTTCTCCCCTTGATGCTTGCTCTTAGTTTCTGCTCCAAACAGGATTAGTTCTAGCCCTCGGCCTAATTGATTTTCTTAATGCTAATAGATTAACCTACTTTGCCATGTTTTTAATTAAAAAAATAGAGCTCTGGCCAGAAAGTAAGCTGGCCTGGAGTGGCCGAACGCAGGAGAGCCTCCTCCGCGGCTCTGCACTCAACAAGTTCAAGTCGAAGGACGCGTTAATTAGCCGCCATTAAGGCAGCTCTCACCGGGGATACCTGGGCCTGCCTCAGACCCCAACCAGCCTCCACCCTGGCCCCCTCACAGCCCCCCATCCAACACTCGCTGTGCATATTTGTTTGTTTGTATTTGCTTATAAACATTTGGAAATGGCAGGTGAGGCGCCGAAGCGACGATGCGTTCGTATCTATGTACTTGTAAGTAACTGTATCTGTATCTCAGCCTGTATTTGTGCTTGTATCTGTGACTGTGCTTGTGCGGCTGCCATTTCCTTTACGCCTGTCAATTGCGCATTTTATTTACCAGCGTCGATTTATTTTATTTTATTTTACTTTTCGCTGCTCCCCCACCACACCAGCGCCCGGCTGGGTTTTATTTTTGTTTTATTATTTTTTCTCTGAGTGCTTTTCGAGTGCGAGGCAGCGGAAGTAATGAAGCGAAAGCGGAAACGAATTACTTTGTAGCAGTTGCTTGGGCCTTGACCTTGCCCCCTTGCCCCGCCACCGCCACCGCCCCCGCCCCGTCGTGTGCGTGTGTTTTCAATTTTATGCATTTTGCCAGGATACCCTACTCCCAAAGGACCCGGCGGCTCTATGGCGCACGTGTCGCACGTTTCTCTTTTTTTTTTCTGTTTTTCTGTTTTGGGTAACGCTCCTCGTTTTGGCTATTAAAAGTTTGACAGCCCGGGGCGTCACTCAAAATTGTTAGTGACTTGAAAGTGGTCCAGGCCCTCGTCCCGCCCCTCGCAAAATATGTTCATTGGAGTTGGGAAAACAGCTACAAAACTTCTCGAAGAAGGTCCTCTTAAATACGCATTTGTCTTTATGGATATATTACTTTATAAGAAGTTCTAAGTTAATTGGAGTAGTTTTTTCTTCTACAGATGTTTCCCAGTGCATCATCCACTAGTTTAGCCCTGCCGATTATCCTAGCGCCGCCAATCTTCGCCAATCCTTTTTCATTGGCAAGTCAATTAGGAGCACTTGAGTCGCCCTCCACGCTGCCCTCAAGGGCTGCCTAAAAAGGGGGCGCACCCTGCCCGGCTGTGGACGGGGTCTTTTGGCCAGACCGGCCTAGGCCAGAACGCGTGCCAGCCATTAAAAGCTTTTTAAAATTAATTATAAAACCGAAAGTAGACACGGAGAATTCTCCCCAAATAAAACGCAAAGAACTGACAACCCTTTTCTTTTATTTTTTTTTTGTTGTAATATATTTATATTTTGGTCGGAAGGGGGGTCAGAGGGGACGTAGGGGAAGGCCGGAGAACGGGTGGCTTCTGGCTTCTACTTGCCAACAGTTTTTTTGTTGCCCTGGCAAATTTAACTTCAAACAGATTTTTGATACTTCAGTGGGCAACCGCAGGACTGGGGGCGTCAGGTGGCCTGCGATGGCGGGCCGAGGAGGCGGTAGGGCCGTAGGACTTTAGGAGGGGGGCGTGGCAAGTCGAGCATGCGTAACAAATTGTGCACATTATGCGGTGCAGAAAATAGTTGCCAATGAACCACCGCCCCATTCCTCTGCCAACATAACCCACAAGCCCGCCCCGAAATCTCCTGCCAAAAAAATGTAAGTGGCAAGTTGAGAGGGAAAGTTTCCTGATTTGGGTCCGTTCGGCCATCCTGAGCTCCTTATCCTTATCCTGGCCTAAGCTGGCTAAAAAAACACCCGGAGAGTTCGGTTGGACAGCTTCATTATCGTCTCATTAGAGCCTCGTGATCTGAGTGTCGGGTTTTTGGGCTCCAACTTTTGCAGTTTTCGATTTGGGTCTCGGCCGCAGTTCAAATGTCTAAAGCTCAAAGTGATTTTGTCACTGGACTTTTCAAGGGGGTCCTTCCCACTTCAACAGGTTGGTTTCGAGTTGGAAAGCATGTGTGGCTAAGGTATTTTTGAGCTTGGCCAGCATTTATGACCCAAGGGATGTTAATGGGTTCTTGGTATATTAGTGAGACTTTTGAATAGATTTTTACTGAATATATTGTTCCATATTTTTGACAAAATAGCTCTATTTAAAGCTTAAGGATTTAGTTTTTTATTTACGCCAATAAGTTATTAAAATCATGGTCACTTTTATGATCTCACTTATGTTAAGAATCTATTCAAATCACACAGAAACATATCATACTTATTTAAGCGCATTTAAGGACCTTGTTTTTGGGGATTATATTCACATAAATCAAAGCTAAGGACAAAGGACAAACTAATTTTAGTGTTTTATAATGACTTATTTAAAATAAACTTAAAAGTAAACTAAAAGATTGGTAATGTTTATTACCATATTGCCAGCTTGTTTTTCTGAGATGCGATAATAAACGCTTCAGCGCCAACAAGCTTAGTT